ATAACAACACACATAATAACAATAAGTGAAGTCTACTGTATAAGATGCTTTAAAGATATTTGTTTTCATTCTACATTAACAGTTATGACTAGTAGAAGAAACAGACTGTCTGTTCACAATTTCAAAAGATGAGTGTCTCCATTTCATCATAATCAATCAATGTTTGAAATTTTCTATTTTTAAGATTAATATTTATTATTTTTCATAATTTTATTTTTAACTTTTACTAATTCATTTTTATTTTTGTACTTTATATTAAAATTTTATTTAAATTTACACCTCTAGGTAATACAACACAATCTGTTATATATTGCATCAAATATTTTAAAGTGTTTTGGTATCTTCATAAAAATTAATTCCTTACAAATGTATAAATCAAACAAAAACAGGTTTATTTCTGTAAAGAACTGAATAAAGATCATGTAATTGCATAAAATTATATTGTCATAATATATCTTTGATATACTGAAATTAAACATGAAATTACTACTGTAAACTTGTTTCAATATTCTTTTACATCATTTTTCCTTGTAACATTAACAGGTGTCAAACAGTAAAAAATTATAGAATAAAGACTAAAAAATTGCTTTTATTACCAAAATTTATAAAATTATATAAATTTATAAAAAAATCCAATATACTATTGGATTTTTCTATTTTTGTTATGTGCATTTCTTTATTAATTCTAATTATAAGTAAGTGTTTTTATGCAATAAATTATTTTCAAGTTATTTTAGAAAGGAAGAATGTATCAAACAAATAAAAATAAAAAGATTTTATTATAAAACAAATTATAATAATTTCATAAATGATTTCTAATGATTTATAAATAAGTTTTTATTGTTTTGACAATTTCTGATCAGTTCTTACATGTTTTAATCATGACCAAACCAAACTATTTATTTACTAATAAAATTTCTAGTAAAAAAAATTATATAAAATAAATTGCTTTTGCTAGATGCTTATTTAATTAAAAATAATGTGTTTATTTAAATAGCACATGTTATTTTTAAAGCAAATTTTAAAGCATTATTAGATTATTATATATTTAAAATGTGAAGTTCAGAATTTATATTAAAAAAAAAATACTGAGTNGTTATAAATTTCTAAAATTTTTATATCAATGCAAAATACACAATTCCAAATATTCATACTAAGACTTATAAATATTGGAATTATATCAACAGGACTTTAGATAAATCTGATTTCTTTTGTAAATAAATAAATGAAAACATTAATCTGACCTTAAATAAAGAAGGCTCTTCTGGTAACTTAACAAATGTTTTGATTATATATAGCTGATTTTGCCTATCGCAATTAAAATTAAGTAGGTCCCAAAACACACAAGCTATAATACATTACAATAAGCAAAGTTTTCATCATCAGAATTTGGTTATTGTTATTATCTCAAAGTAAATAAGGTTCTGATGATCATTAGTCAATCAATGCTTTAAATTAATTGTTTTAATCATTACTTATTTCAACTAAATAGTATTTGTTTTTTTCAAGTGCATACTTAAAATTTTAAGTTAACTTTGATTATGAGTTAAAAGATTAAATAATTGAAAAAAAATATATTTTAAAATTTTTTGTTCACTCATGTACATTTGAAAGAACTGATTGAAAAGACATATCTTTGTATGTATTGTCTACTCAAGAATTTTTTTTTAAATTTTGTAAACTAAATATTTGACTTCATAAAATCATCCTCACAAATTAAAGTATTTTATATGGTAATAAATCATATGATTAATTTAGAATATAAAATATTAAATACCTACATGTAAGTTATATAATATTGTATAAAATCAAAATAGAATACATCCTCAATATTTAGAATTATGCTCAAGCAATAAGGAAAAGCTTAAATGCATAATGAATTTAAAATTTTTTGATAGGCACACAAAGGTTCTGTACATCCAATAAAAAAAATGAAAACCATTAAAATATCCATAAAAGCAAGATCAAATTATTTAATTCTTTCACTGAAGACAGAGAATCCCAATCTAGCTCTGGCAATGTTTGGGGAGTCAGTAAAATAAATTCTGAAGTTGCCTTTAATAAAAGAAATGCTTTAAAATTGCTGTAAAACCTCATTTAGAAGATATGAAACTGCCATAGACCATATTGGTAAACAATGATTCATAAGTGACTGGAAATTGGTAAAGAAAAATGTAAAGAATTCAGACAAAATCATGCAACAAAGTCTCTAACATGAAACAACAAGTGATAATTGCTTTATGATCTTTGAAAATTTATTGTTGAAAACAATACCAAGATCAGTGATTGATTATATATTTTGTCTATTATTTCCAACAACAAAGGACAGTAATGGGAAATTATGAAGTAGGAAGAAACACTTCACAACTGTTTTGATTACATGTTAAAGCAGGAATAGTCAACTTTTTTATACCTACCACCCACTTTTGTATTTTTGTTGGTAGTAAAATTTTCTAACTGCCCACCAGTTCCGCAGTAAGTTAATTTAGCACAACTGCAAAGTTCTCATAATTTTTGAGTTGTGGTTTAGTAAAAATATGTAGTTAAATTTATCTTTTTATTTATATTTTGCATATGTTTATAATACACAGAAATTTTTTTTGCCAGTGTGCCAAGTGTTTTTTTTTACGTCAAAGTGAAATTTTATGTAGCTAAATTTGGTACGCCAACCTCACCATGAAACAAGCTCAACTCGAGTGATGGCCCTACCGACCACAATAAAAGCTCAAATCGCCTACTAGTGAGTGGTAGAGACCAGGTTGACCACCACTGTGTTAAAGCATCAATTATATCAATTATATGAAGTAATCAGAATGAAAAAATTTCAGATAATTGGATCACACTTAATAATAATAAAACACAACACTAGGGTTGATAATAAGATTGCTCAATAGCAGGCTTTAGATCATTGACAATTGTTATTATATAAAAATATTGAAATTTCTGTAATTACTACTCTCTGAAATTAATTTTTCAGATTATTGATTTTCAGTTAATTAACTCTCTACTATATTGATTTTGAGATTATATTTTCCAAACAGCCAAACAAATGTTCTAAGTCTAATTGTCTAAAATCATGATTGATATGTTTAATGACATTAGCATATGCTTTAAAAATAAATTAATTTGTGCAAGTAGATTGTTAATATAGGCATACTTAAAGGGGAATACTTAATATTGATCCTTGCTGGATGCAACAAATAGATAGAAAAAAGAAAAGATCTAAAAATCCAAAATCATCAATTTTAATTTTACATGAACATTTAAAATTATTTAACTAAGAATGAAAAGCAAATAAGAATAAAAAGGATTAATGTCACCACTGTGAAAATGAAAGACATTAAGGAGAAACATGTTTGGGTGAATTTTTGTTTCACTTTTACTTTTACCAGCAAAACTTACTGAAAGGTGTGCTTTGCTTCAGCAGATCTATGAAGACTGTGAGCAATTCACATTGTCATGAGTGGTTTAAGCATTTTAAATAGAATGGGACATCAATTGAGAAAGATTCAAGATCAAGACAATTGACATTGAGTTTTCTTTTTTAATCATTGAGGCATAATCCATCATGAATTCATGCCATAAGGTCAGATTGTTAAGAAGAAGTTCATAGATGTTCTAAGGTGTTTGAGGAAAGATGTGCGCTGGAAGAAGCCTGAACTTTCGGAAAAAAGTTCTTGTGTTGTATCATGACAACATGCCATGTCACACATCTCTGCTTGTCTGCCAATTTTTGACTGCTAACAATGTGGCCATCCATCCCCACCCCAGTACTCTAAACTTAGCCCTTGTACACTTTTTCCTATTTCTAAAGTTGAAAAAGGCGTTTTCAAACTGTATATGACAGGGATACCCAACCCGCAGGCCACACTGTGGCCCATTGCACCCTAAATTTTTTTAGGTACATTTTCGTTTATTTTGGTAAAGTATGTCATAAACTGGATATACTTTGATGTCAGAATGACATAACTGGTGCTAGAAAACTGTCTTATCTAGATAACTGTACTACCCCACATGCATAACACACTGTTGTGAACAATTCTTTTTGTGCATGAAAATCAACAAAACTGCTGAAAGAAATAGTTAAATGGAAATTACTCGACCTAACATTTTTAGAATTAAGACTAGTACCATAAAAGCAGATATTGACATTATTATAAAAGAAAGGCAATGCCAAAAATTGCATTGAATTTATTTTTTCTGAGTATAATTTTTTTACTGTCAATAATAGTATTTTTTGTAATTAAAATAAGCAATTTTTTTTCTACTTCAATATAAATTGCAATACAAGTTATAAATTTCTAAAATTTTTATATCAATGCAAAATACACAATTCCAAATATTCATACTAAGACTTATAAATATTGGAATTATATCAACAGGACTTTAGATAAATCTGATTTCTTTTGTAAATAAATAAATGAAAACATTAATCTGACCTTAAATAAAGAAGGCTCTTCTGGTAACTTAACAAATGTTTTGATTATATATAGCTGATTTTGCCTATCGCAATTAAAATTAAGTAGGTCCCAAAACACACAAGCTATAATACATTACAATAAGCAAAGTTTTCATCATCAGAATTTGGTTATTGTTATTATCTCAAAGTAAATAAGGTTCTGATGATCATTAGTCAATCAATGCTTTAAATTAATTGTTTTAATCATTACTTATTTCAACTAAATAGTATTTGTTTTTTTCAAGTGCATACTTAAAATTTTAAGTTAACTTTGATTATGAGTTAAAAGATTAAATAATTGAAAAAAAATATATTTTAAAATTTTTTGTTCACTCATGTACATTTGAAAGAACTGATTGAAAAGACATATCTTTGTATGTATTGTCTACTCAAGAATTTTTTTTTAAATTTTGTAAACTAAATATTTGACTTCATAAAATCATCCTCACAAATTAAAGTATTTTATATGGTAATAAATCATATGATTAATTTAGATTTTGTTTTACAAATATATCAATAAATTATTATTAATCATGTTAAAAGTTTTTATATATATATACAACTTCTTCTTACCTTGATGTCCAGCTAATTGAACCCAGGGATATTTTTGTTTTCTGTATGTCTGTATAAATGGCGACCAATGCACAATATTCCGCACTTTTCGCCATGCTGAAGACTAAAAAATAAATTTACTAAATGTAATTTGAATGCAATTATTGTGGAAAAAAAATAAAAAATTATCTAAATTAATAATAATAAGACAGATATAATTTGTTTTGATTTGATATTACTAAACTAAATGAAATTTTAGATTATTATTACTAAATTATTTTCTTGCAATTAAAATATTTTCGAAAGATTTACGTTGTCAGCTTATATTTTTTAATTTGATTTCTTTTTGTAATAAATACATTTATACTCAATTACTCAATAAATAATAAAAATTTATTTCAAATAAAATTTAAATTCTTCAATTTTCTGTTTTTCTTTAATATACCATTTTGCATAGGTGACATTGAAAACTTATCAGTCAGTTCAAAATATTGAAATTTAAGAAAATTTACAAACATTTTAAAAAGATTTGTCTTTACTACAAATCAAATATTTTGAAGTATCATTATTTTCTTTATTTTTTGCCTCCAAAGAGGCCATTGAAAGCATAAAATTGGTATACAGTTTAAAAAGTTATCACTTTAAACATTAAAACATTGTTTATCTCAGTATTATACTTCATTGTAGATAAAATTATAAATAAGTGAAATGAAAACACAGCCACTAAGTAATCTCCTGAACTTCATGCCTATCATATTGTTTTATTTCTATTTTTATCAATTAATAATAATAAAATATGTGGTAAACAATAATAAATGTTAAAATAAACTTTGAAAAAAATTTTTTTGGGTCTATAATATGAAATGAATTGAAGAATCAATTGTTCAGCTCTTATTCATTGTAGGTAGGATGACCATCTGTCCCCAATTTCTGGGGGGGGAACACTGCATTTTTTTTTTACCTCTCTCTCCAGCAAGGAAACATCCTTGGTTTTGTCCCTAGAAAGGAGTCTTGTCCCCGTTTTTTCAATTTCTTGTTTTTTTCATTGTTTTTTCGGTTTCTTCTTTTTTTATTGTTTTTTTGATTTCTGTAATATTGTCACTTCCAGTTTTTCTGCCAGAAGACATGTTCAATGTCTTCAAGGTTGCCAGGTATTTTTTAAAGAAGTAACCAAATTTTTGAGGAAATGCCAAAAAGAAGCCAAATTTTAAAACACAGACAAAAAATATAGCTAAAAAAGTGCCAAAAGTAAATAGCTGTAGACCTTACTATAGGAGAGCTATTTGATTGAAGCAAATAAGCTCAATCAAAATTAAAATGTTTAGGTCTCAGTCATGTATATGTACAGTACCACACTTTTTTTTAATTCTTTCTGCCCTGTAAACACTAAGAGGACCTTTCTTCAGCAAGCCCATTATAGGTTCAGCAAGGTCCACAAGGTGGTTCAAAAGCCGGGTGGTGAAGGATGGGACCTGACACATCCAGACAGACCTTCACCTGAAAAACTCCGGGGCTTTTTCGACCCATTGAGATTTGATCCCAGATTCCCAGATTAGTAGACTGCCACCTTGACTGTTCAGCCATCTGGCATTTAATATATGTACAGTACCCATTTGACAGTACTTATACATGTACCCTAAAAAGTGATGATTGATGTGTTTCCCTAGATTTGCTGGTTACACTACTGTAGGGTACTCTACAGTTTAATTTACATAGACGTCTGCTACCAAAAGTAAAGGCATTTTTACATGGCAAATTTGTTTCCCATTTCTGTCTTGCAAAATGAAAACAGTGAAATAAGCAATCACATGTATGACAAAATGTTAAAACATGATGATGGCTTATAAGCATTAAAAATATTTGAAGTTATTTTGTCCATTTATTGAAAAAAAAAACTTTAAAATTAATGCTGAAAACAGCAATTGGAAAATGCTGTTACACTGTATGGAAAGTCTAAACAGATGAATGAAACAAACCACCTATCTCATTCTTTCAGGCCAGTCTTCTTCAATAGAAAGTGCTATATTTGTATTTGTAATGTGCTATATTTTGAGAGCAGGATGGGCCCCATAGAGCATAACCTTGGTGGCATTGTGAATTTTACATAAACTGAGACAAATTTAAATTCATTCATATGGAAAGGAATTTATCTGCTATATATTCTTCACAGATACCACATTTAAACCTCTCTCTTTATCTCCAAAAAGTTTTCATTCTAGTTAACACTATTGAAAAATATTCACCGTTGAAGTTCAACTAATTAAAGTGTAATCACAATTCGCAAAACAAAAAAAAATTTGCTGAAAAAAAATGTCAGTGCCAACACAACATTCATTCCTCTTGATTTTCTGCTAGCAATTCACTGTACAAACTAAACTTAAAAAGTAAGACAAAAAAATTTAAATAAAAGATAATTTTAGAGTTTATTTTATTATTAAGAAGCTTTTACATGTATTAGATTATTTTAATGGTAAAGTTTTAATTGTGAATGACTTCTTTTAAACTTCTTATTCCCAGATAAATTAAAGTATGCATTCTAATCTTACTTTATTTTTTAAATTAAAATACAGTAAAAATATTTTTGGGACAAAATGTTAATGATGCAGGATGGCTTATATATACTAAATACTTTTCTTAAATATTCTGTGCTGAAATGATGGTACATATTATATACCTATGCCTAAAATATCTTTTTAAATTAATTTATACTTTAATGAATATTTTCAAAAATAATAATTTATATATGCCAGTTTCTTGTGATTTTTCATTAGATGGACATATTAAGAAAAATAAAATTAACCCCCCTCCAGATTTTAAAACAACTGTTAAAAGTATTTTTAATAAAAAAAAAATGTTTTATTGAATCAAAAATCAATACATAACATTAAATGTAAATTACATAATGATACATTTCCTAATTTATTATATATTTTTATTTCAAAAATAAAAAACTAAATGAAGTTTTCTTTCACTGAAATTTAAGTTTTTAAAAAAAAATATTAACTTAATTTTAATTATAAAAACAAAACATTAATAGTATTTTACACTAGTAAAAATTTAATTAGTATCGTATTATTAAAATGCATTATTTAATAATATTTACTCTTATCAGAATAAATTCATCATTTTTAATATACATTGGCAAGCCAATTCTTTAACTTTATAAGTGATCAACTTCAAGTATTAGTAAATAAATTGAGGAAATACATCAAGGCTGATTTATAAGATTATTTTAATAAAGTTTTATTATTTCCTGTACACATACGATAATTATTGATAACATTAATCATGGTAAAATATTTAATAATTTATTATATAATAGACTTAAATTTATTAACTACTACTCTTAATATTTCATTTTAAATAAAATATGTCAAACTTCTACATGTAATGATCAATTACAAAAGTTTTTTAAATTAAGAATTATATAATTATATCTACAATTAATTTAAGCTTTATCTAAATGCCAATTATGTCGTTTTTAGTAACTATGATTTATAGTTTAATAACTGTATTTTTTTCCATCGGCAAACTTTATATTTAGTTATATAGTGAATGATTCTTAACATAAAATAGATTACAAAAAAATTAAATGATTTTTAATTTGTTTAAGTAACCATTTAAGGCTGACAATTAAAACTTTTTTCATAGATTATTTCAAAAAACATTATAATAATAATATATATATATAATTTAATGTATTATTAAAACATATTAAACATATATAAAGAAGTTTTTAAATTAAAAAGTTTATTACTTTTAGTTGACTTTTGTTTTTATAAATATAATCTTTTCATTGTAAAAGAAAACATTTAAACTTTGGAAACTGTACCTAAACATATTATCATATTTCATAAAATTATAAAATTTTACTTTATAGTAATAAATTCTATGAAATGGAACAAAGATGACTAACTACAATAGATACTTATTAAAAGCAAATAATTTAATAAAAATTTCATGAAAATTTTAAATATTTATAAAATTATTCATAAATCTGAATTGTGTTTTAAAGAAAAATTTAAAATTTCATTATATTAATTCCATCTGAATGAAAATAATTATCATTAAAAATAAATTATTAAAAGATATTTATTTAATAAAATATTCTTCTTTTAATACTATACTGACTTGCTGGTTTAAATTACATTTTATCATAATGCTTCTACTATATTTACTGTAACAGTATAAAAATTTATCTACTTTTAGTTTTCAATTTTTATCTTATATTGAAAAATTAGTAGATATACATATATAAACCATATAATTATCTATAGAACAAAATAAAAAAAATATTGTAAACTATAATGTTCCATTGAATTCATTTAATGCAACATTAAATTATTTTAAAATAAAAAAAAATCCTTGGGAAATTATAATATGATTTAATCTTGCATGTCAGTGAATAATAACTGTTTGTTAAATAGTAATTTAAACACTTAACTTAAATTTATCAGCATTATGAAAAGCCATTATTTAAAAAATTATCTCTAAATAATTACAGAAATGACATATTTAATGCTTTAAGGTAACTAAATTTAAACATAAAAAAATATTTAATATATTTAAATATACAAAAATAATTAAATATAAAAATTTATTTATATGCTCACATTGAATTAAAATATTATTCTTAAAAAGTTTTTTTGTGAATTTTTTTATTTTAAAATTAATTCTCCTAAATCAATCTATTCTAAATTTTTCAGCCTAAATGAAAATAGTCAAAAATAAAATATATAATAAAATTCATATTAAATTATAATTAAAAATATGATATAGCATTAATGAAAATCTTATCTAAGAAATCAGTATTAGTTACAGCCTTGTTTGAAGAAAATTTTATAAGAAAAAAATTACTTTAAAAATAAATTTAAAACATTCTAAATCTTAAGTTATAAGTATTTTGTATATCTAAGAAATTAATATAGTAAAAAAACTTTAACCATTAAATTTTTAAAGGATAATCTATTGTTGACCAAACAAAAAATCTTTAATCTTATAGAAATTACAATACTGAAAACAATTCTAAACTTAAAGGACATTAATTTACTACATCAAATCAAAGCTGACTTCCAGATACCTTTGATGATGTCATTTTAACAAGAAACAATTGTTGTTACTTCA